TCGTGTACGGATATTTGTAACTATTTTATTATTTACTGCAAAAAAAAAGAGCGAATAAAACGACTAATTAGCGGTAGCTAGGTCTAAAGAGAAGCTACATACAGGGAATGAGAGATTTCTCAAAATGGAAACGGAACGCTTCCTTAAACCGGAAGAGTCGAGCGCCCGCACGAAGCCCGGGTCTTCGAGCGATGGTGACGAGTCGATTCCATGTCAAGTACGGAAGTCGGCAAAGAGCCCTGATTGCAATCAGCCGGGATTTTCATGCTCACCCGGGGCGAATGAGTACAAGCGGTACATAAGTTTCGACGAGTTTTATAGAAGATTGCAGCGATCGTGGGAGCCACGTGATCGAGCGAGGGAAGGAAATTGCGGACAATTTACGTTTCTCCCTACATATACATATATAAGTCTGCCTATCATCGTACACGCTTTGTAAAATACGAATTACACGATTTCGCGTTTTAGAGATCACATTATACATACACAGAAAAATATTTGCTGTTTAAAAAGAACAGCCAAAGTATCTAAAAATTTAGTTAGATATAAATATGAAAATAATTTCATTACACTATCAAAATAATTATATGGAACACTTAAATATTAATGACTGCCATGCTGCAAAAAGTTTTTTTCATTTTAACCAGTTTAAGTATTCTACATTTAACAATTAATTTAATGGTCCAAACAAAATTATTTTTAAATCTGTATCTGGCTAAATTTTTAAATACTCAGCAAAATTTCTTTTCTTCCATGTGTATCTAAAAATTTAGCTAGATACAGATCTGAAAATAATTTTGTTGGTTATCAAGAGACACTCAATCTGGTTGCTAAATATTAAAATTTTTTATGGCATTGCTTATCTCGCTTAAATATCCTAAATAATTATTTTGATGGCCAAAATTATTTTCAAATCTAAATTTTTAGATACTCCAGCAAAACCGTTTTTTTTATATATTTTCATAAATGTTTATTCAAATACGGTATAAATACGATAATATCTAACATTTAGCTCTCCTCCGTGTCTCGCTACTAACATTTTTTTTATACAATCGTTCATTTCAAATCACTACATCGATCTCGCGGCCACCAAATCGCAAAATCACGGACGAACGGCTGCCCGCCATGTCGATAGGAAATCTCTTGCCGCGAGGATGCAATCTACAAAAAAAATGGCGGCGATATCGGAGCGCGTGACGACGCATTGCATTTATCTCGTTGGTGTCTTTCCCGTCCCGCCGATTTCTCGTTCCGTTCCCTCCGGAGCACGTCCTCCCTCTTGTCCCCCTGGCACGGGGCACACACAGATGGGTCCCTCCATTTTGCGTTCGCATTGTTACTCCAAGTACCCGGCCCCCCTTCCCCTTCGCGCGGTGCGGTGTTACAATGCCTAGCCACTCCTGCATTGTTACCAGTATTGTTATTATTATCGCTACTGTTGCCGGTTGCGGCCGAGTGGCGAATGGAAAAGCAGAGGGCCGGTGAAGCCAGCTGCTACATCGAGTGTCGCATTAGAGGCAAATTACACTCCCTCCCCTCCCCTTCCCTCTGGCCAGCCTATCGTAGCTTTTATCCTACCTCTCCATTTTCCCTCCGTTTTTCCGAAAAGTTTTGACCTATCGAGCTGTCCGCGAAAACCTGTCGGTGATATCAGATCTTTATTATCTGAAACAAGCGCTGTTACAATTGCATTTTTATTGTTTACACGTTAACGAATGTTGACAACGTGCACCGAACTAATTATAAAATAGTGTTGAAATATTTATTATTTAGTATTTAAATATTTCTAGATAATATATGTAGATATGACTGCCAGAAGTATCTTTGATTACAACGAATAGTGCAAGGATACTGAACTATAAAATAATGTCGGATATAAGAGAACTGGCAAGAAAGATATAATAGATATCGTTATTTATTAAGCGCTCTAGAATCGCGAAATTCTCTCAAAAAGCAGTACATAATTGTAACAACAAAATAAGAAAAATTCAAAGCATCAGATACATAAAATAAGATTATAAAAATAAAGATAAGAAGGAAATAAAATATAAAAATAGAAAAGATGAAAGAAATTGAAAAACAGAATACCTATCTAATAACATACTAAGGGAAAAACAAGACGTAGGACACAAATACAAGTCAAATTTATACTTAATAAATTATTGTTTAATTTGTATTTAAAATCATGCAGAGAGGTGATACAGTGAATGTTTCATGATATATTATTCCAAAATTCCGCAGCACTGTTGCTAAAAGATTGTTTAAAAAACTTTGTGCGGCACAACAGTAGCAACAAATGAAAGAAAGAAAGAGAGAGAGAGAGAGAGGGAAGGGGGGGATTAAGTTTTAGCATGAAGACTTATTGTTCTTGAATTCAAAAACCAGATGAGAGAGAGAGAGAGAGAGAGAGAGAGAGAGAGAGAAAGCAGGAAGATCGCGATCGCGCACGATTCAGCTACGTGAATAATAATCATAATAATGGGTTTGCGTACCACCGAGTCTTCGCACTCCCTCTCTCTCCTCTAGTTTCATCCCCCTGCACTGTGGTCGGCAACCCCATGATGCGCACGTCAGGAGAGGGATCGAATCCCGTAGAGCAGAGGGCGAGTTCAATGCTGTGCAAACACGTCGCTACCGCCGTTTTCGAGATCGGCATAGACGAGAGATGAGAGACGAAACGATCGACAGCGCAATGGTACGACTAGTGCCACCGTCACGGTTTTCTTTGACATGATAATAGGAGAAATGGCGTCATTAATTCACGGATGTTCGCCCTTAACATTAGCATTAACCCCCTCAATTCTAGTTCACAATACATTCGCAACATTTTTATTTCTAATTTTTTTTTTTAAATATATGGAAAGATCATTTTTTGTAGAAGTATTTAAAAATTTAGCTGGATATAGAACTGAAAATAATTTTATTAGACCATCAAAATAATTATGTACGATCAGGTGAGTTGTGTGTGAATTTGAAAAAATCCACACTTAAAATTTAGCTTGATGTAGAAATCCACACCTAAGAAATTCAAGAATTGAATTTAAAATCAACTGTCAATTTTTCTAAACTTATATGGGGAAAATGCGCGGCTGCCGATACTCGCGATGGC